GCCCAGAGGTGTGATGGAAAGAATTCACGTGAAGAAAATGGGGACAGTGCTTCCTGAAAACAAGATTATACGTATAGGGATAAAGTACCCAGAGGAGCAAGCAAGGAATACTTTCTCCCAACCTGACACATGGTTTCTAAGGTCTATGAAGAGATTTTCAGAAGGGTGCTGTATGGCTGTTTTACTATTTCGTGTGTAGTTTAGTAATGGAAATTTTGTTTTAATTTTTACCATGTTTTCTAATTATAAAAAAAGTAATTTATGATCCCTGCCTTTACTGATTGCTGAGAAAGAATTCACGTGAAGAAAATGGGGACAGTGCTTCCTGAAAACAAGATTATACGTATAGGGATAAAGTACCCAGAGGAGCAAGCAAGGGAATACTTTCTCCCAACCTGACACATGGTTTCTAAGGTCTATGAAGAGATTTTCAGAAGGGTGCTGTATGGCTGTTTTACTATTTCGTGTGTAGTTTAGTAATGGAAATTTTGTTTTAATTTTTACCATGTTTTCTAATTATAAAAAAAGTAATTTATGATCCCTGCCTTTACTGATTGCTGAGCTGAAGGACAAAGTCCAATCTGCACAGGAAGGAGGTGGGGCGAGAGCCCCCATCCACTACTTCCTTGGTGAGCGCAAGCAGGAGGATGATGAATGTTTTTTGTCTGTGTGTGAAATGATCCTTTCTTTTCTGTGATCCTTTGAATTTTTCACACCATTTCTCCTTTGTTTGAAAGAAGTTGTTATGGATGTCAGCTGTGTTACACCAGTTCACTCCCTGTCTGCAGCCCATCCTGTGCAGTGAGCAATCAAAAAAAAAAAGTTTGTATATTTTAGTATTACTTTAACATGAATGTACAAGAACATGAGGCATGGATTAAATCTTGTGTAAGATGTTTACTGTCTTATGTGAACTTCTGTAATGTAAATTTTATTTTAATGTTTAGCATGTTTTCTAATGTAGAAAAAGTAATTTTTCACCCCTACATCTACTGAGCCCAATAAGAAGTATTAGCCTACTAATACTACCTTTAAATATAGGTTCTCAAGAGACTTAGAAATACAGAAACCTGTTCTGACAATTGAGCTAATAGAGTGTTACCAGAAATATATTTTTACACCCTTTCTAGAGCTTATTGAGAGCAGAGGACAAAACTTGGAGTACATTTTATACGTACCCAAGGCTTTGTTACTGCTCGTGGCTTGGGCAGATTGTGTGCAGTTCTGCCTCATGGCAGGGTGGTTTGTCTCAGGAGAAAACCTGGCACGCACTGAGGAGGAGATGTGTGTCACTGAATGGTGCAGTGGAGCAGGTTGTTTGCTGTGCTGAATTTATGTGGAGGGACTGAGAATGATCCTGCTTTCTTACCCCACCCCAGGTCTTGATTTTGCCTTGTTCCGTTAGGCAAGAGGGAGCAGTCCTGACCCAGAATTGTGGTCGCAGCTGGTGATGTTTTAAATGGGGGAAATGCAAGTTATGGTTCTTTCCTACATATGTTTTGCAAGGTGGGATGGTGATGTAGGCCACCGTTTCCCCCTGCCTGCACTGAGCACTGTTCCAGGGAGCAGCTTTTCTATTGCTCTCTGGGAATTAGGTTATTAGCAGTTCTGGCTTTCAGTTCTGCTGTTTTGGCGTGTCTATGCCCATATCTTGCTTTTGTTTTAGGGATGTTAATGACTTTACAAAGAGTCATGGTAGTGAGCAGTATGTCAGGTTGCAGCAGGGTCACTTCCTTTCTACAGCACTGAATCCCAGTGTGAATTTTTGCTTTTGACAATAGAGTATCTGCCGGGTCTTAATTTTTACCCTTTTAACGGTGCAGAGGAGTTATACAGATTTTTAAACCTGGAATACTTAGGTTTTCCATGCATGGAATGAATTCGAGGTATCAGAGGTAGTTTGGATGTCTGTGTGAGTGCTGCACGGATGATGTGAGCGCAAGCCTGGAGAAACCCAGGTACAACAGCCTGGCAGGAGGCTCCCATGGGCTGGTGGAGCCATGGCAAACAGAAAGCTGCTTCAGCTTTTCCTGACTGAGATGGCTCATTAGCCAAGCACGGATGGTTGTTGATGGTACTTCTGCTCCTGTCGTGTATTAGACTTTCTGCCTAGTCCCAGCTAGTCCTGGAGGATTTCTTGAACTGGTGATCAGCCATTTACTTGGGAGAATCATCAGTTCCTTATTGTGGAACTTTAAATTCACATTGCTTCTAATATCTCTGTGCTCTGATATAAAACAACTGCAGTGATAGAAATGCCAATGTAACAAATGAGCCCCATTCATTAATTTTTTTAGTTTAATCTAGGTTACTTCCATTACTTCTTAGAAATAACGATAATATGAAGGATTTTTCTTTTATGCTGGCTGTACTACTTGAAGTCGGGATAGACACAGATAATATTCAAGCCAATTTCTGTTTTGCTAGACTTCAAAAAAATTCGAGTGTCCTAGTTTGCAAATACTGTGCTTCCACACTGAGGATTAAGTTATCACAGTTTGACAGTCAGCACTTGAAGTATTCTTTCATACTGGTTTTGAATCACGTATTACTCATTTTTCGTATAACACATTAATGACATATTTGGTATTTATTAGTCCTGTGAATAAGAGCCAAATCCATCTGGCATTGCTCAGATGAGTAATGCTGTTAACTCAGTTTATAAGTAGAACTAACAGACTGATTTTTTTAAAAGCTTTATTGTGTTCCTGTTGTTTAATTCTCTTAGGGTTTTGTCCTTGAAATAAAATTATGTACTATAAAGCAAATAACTTTTTTTCCAGTTTCCAGCTTGGTGTCTGAAAATCAAGCTGTGACTTTCAGATTTCAGACACCAATACAAATTACAGCAGAAAAAAAAGATAGCCAGAATCTAGCAGCTAGTTTTACTGGTGTGTTAACAAGGAAGAAGAGAATTTACTGCTTGTTTTGTCATTTATATAGAGTCTTCACTGTTGTCAGTCAAGTAGCTGTATGATACACAGAAGACCCAGTAAGAGCAAATCACAGCAGTAAGGTGTTTCCGTGTTACTACTCACCTGACTTCAAGGGATTTCTTATCCTCTGCTTTCCTTCCCACGCTGAAAGCGTGCATTTGCATGAGTATTGTAACTGTCATAAAACTGCAGCTCTGCTGTGCAACACTACTCATTTATTACTTAACAGTAGCTGCTGCTGTAAATCAGTTCTAGTGCTGATTTTATCAAGAGTATAGGATGTTTTTGGCAATGCTTATTCTCAGATTCTCGCTGCAGTCCATCTCTCTACTAAACTAGCTTGTTTTCTGTGTTCTGTCACTAGTGATATGAGCTTGTCCTTTGCAAGTTCCTATCTCGCTGAATTTTGACCTTCTGGGAAATAGTCTTGACAAGTTGCACACTTCTTGACCAGAATGGACTTTCTAGTCTCAGATTAAATCTTGATGCTTGTATTTACTTTGTCCTTCTGTAGAACTTACCAACATGTGGATACGAGGAAAATAATAATAAAAAAAAAATAATAGGTAGAGGTAGGCTGGAAAGGGGTCTAGAATAGAGGTTGAAATGGTCTTAAAGTAAAAAGAGGACTGAACAGTGAGAGAGAAAGATAATAAAAGAAAGGATAAAGTGGGAGTAGGTTGTTGCTGTTCTTTAATGATTCACCAAAAGTAATTTCTGTCCCCTTAGCTGTCCCCCTGCAGTTCCATTCTCTAGAGCCTAGTACCTATCTGTCATGTATTGTTTGTGTTTCATCGATATAACAAGTTTACTACTACTACCAAAAAAGGTATCTTTACTGCTGAATTTAATCTCCCATATCAGTGGCCCATTTAATTATTTTTGATCAGTGCTGTATTTGCTCTTTAGCATTCAATGAGTGCCATCATCTCAGTTTTTCCAAAATTTAGAGAGCTTGAGGATCCTATGCAGTGATGTTCTTCACTGCTAGATGGAAAATACTGTAGCTTGTCTTACAAATACGGTTGTAGAACAGACCTTCATTTAGACAATGTTCAAGGAATCGCTGAGCTGTTCTGCTGGATAATCAATTTTCTGGTTGACTGGCAGCCTGGCGCCTATCAGCTCTCACAAAGGACTTTTGGTTTCTCTCAGAAATCTAAAATATATTACCAGAAAACATAACTATGTATTTCTAGAGAGACTGGGTTTCATCCAGAGTTTGTTCGTTTGAGATTCACATTTAAATAAGCGAAGAGGATTTTTTTTTTTTTTTTTTTTTAAGACTTACAACATTTGAGCTATCAATGCTGAATATACGTGTACGTTAAGGTGCTCTGGAAATTTTCTGAGTGATATGAAGAAAGAGTAGTATGTCTCCAAAATATGTTTAGTGGTCTGCACTGAAAGGTTATGAAAAAAAATAGCTGGCAATAGGAATGTAAAGGGAACACAGAGACAGGGAGAATAAAATGGGGAAGCTGGGACAGGTAAACCACTTCTGGAATGGCCTAACCGTGTAGGGCAAGGGATGGTAGGTGTAGATAGTAATGTATTCTTTTAGAAGTTCCCAATTGTATATTGACTCTAGAGAGGTTCCTTTTGCTTGCTTTCTCCTGCTAGGTAAACAAAGAATGCACATTTATTACACCAGCTTTGTAAGCTGAGCTAGATCTGTAGGTTTAGACTTACGATGTGGCAAAGTAGTTTTTGTAAAACTGGAGTAAAAGACTTTTATCAGCTCTATCTATGCTTCTATCTGTGCTGCCGTTTTTCTGTGAGATACCATTCCAGCTTCCAATAGTCACTACTTCTGTACATCACATTCTATCTTTAGATGAGTTTGTTTAATTAGCAGACTAGATAACCACAGTAAATAAAGAGGCCTCAACCTGCAGGTGTTTGTGTATAAATGTTCTTACAGCATAACCATAATCATGCTTTCTGTTTGGCATTAAGTGATATGGATGAAAGAATCTGGATAATCTCATGAAATTTTAGATACTTGCTTGTTCAGGGCAAAAAAAATGGTGTTCTGGACTTGATATTTTTATTTTTCCCCAGATACCCCATCACAAAGGGTGCAGTTCATTCTTGGAACAGAAGATGATGACGAGGAACACATTCCTCATGATCTCTTTACTGAGCTTGATGAAATTTGTTGGCGTGAAGGAGAGGACGCAGAGTGGAGGGAGACAGCAAGGTGAGTGTTTTCATGAGTTTTTAAAAACTATCTGTAGCTACTGGTTGTTGGTGTACCGAGGAACGATTTCAAAGCTGTGGCAAGCTCGGGAACAGATTTTGGATATAAAGCTTAAATAAAACCATAATTTTAAGGCTTAGACTGCTAGTATTACTACAGCATTTGTTGTTTCCCAGAGCCAAATGTTTTCATCTGGGTTTATGAAATATAGGTCAGAATGACTATCAAGGGAAAAAAATCAAAGTAAACATCACATATATGAATTAAAAATTACTGGGTTTATTCATATTTTAGCTCATAATTTTAAGAAACTTTCAAACTTCATATTCTGTTTGAATCCTCAAGGAACTGATAAAATTACCCTTTAATTAAGATTAAAGCAAGGAAAGAGATTACTTTTTGAGCAATAACACTTTTGCATATTCTTACTATCAATGAACAGTTGATTTTGAGACTTTGAATATTGAATGTTGGATTATTTTGTTTCCACATAATTAGTACGAAAAGATTGTTTAGATTGCATTTCTGCTGAAAAAATTAATACTGGAACAGAACTTTTTTTGTTTTTCATGTTTGTTTCCTTGAGCACCTAAATGGGAGATGACTTGCTTTGTTTCATTAAGACTTTACATTTCCCAGCAAGCCTTGCTTCATTTTTCTTCTTAAAACCTTAATTCTCTCTTCCCCTGCCAATATTTGTTGGCAGTGTTCCTAAGTGGTGCCCAGAAGTCTGTGGACCACATCTTTGGTGTCAGTAGGATAAAAAGTGTGGAATTTCTGGAAGGATTTTGTGGGGAACTATGTAAGTGGGCTGTTTGGTATGAACATGGCTCTTAGCTTTCCCTTTAATTTTACTGCAAATTCCTGCTTTTCGAGAGGGCCACAGAATTTTCCATGACCTTCGTTTCCTTTATGTGTCCATAGGAGGCATAGACATGCTAAATATAGATCTTTATATGTAGAAAACTCTCATATGGGAATTGTGCTGTAAAATGAGTGTAGTAGTGTTCCTAAATAATCTTATTAATATTCAGAGAGAGAAAATCTAATCAAGTTAATCATCTGCAGTGTTCTCATACTGATTAGGAATATATAGGACCTCTTCTATGAAGGGTATCAGCTTCTATTGTGATTAAAAATCACTGTGGCTTATGTTACTTTTGAGCAGGGAAATCGCAGCTTCTTTGGTTCAACTGAAAAAAAACCCCTTTGCAAATCATCGGAAGAATTGTCTTTGTGAAAATTATAACAATTTTTATTAACATAAATCCTTAATCAAGATTGAATTTCAAAGGAATAGGTGAAATAAAGAAATTTCTTTTTAGATTGCTCTGTTTTTATGTACAGCCTTTCCTATTGTCATTTGGGAACTAAAGAATGAAAAATATTTAACAGAAACAAGCTGAGATTGTTGAAAAAGGACAGGAAAAAAACAGCCAAGAAAAATATAATTTTGGAGCTCAGAAAATGCAAGAGTGAAGTATAATAGCTAATAGTAAAAATTACTTTAGCTTCAGAAATAGGATGAAAACAAAGAAAGAGTGGAGCTGCCTTACAGAAAGAACTGGTCTAGATATATGTTCTTTTTCAGTTTGGACCAAAAAATTTCAGACAGCATTTGACATGGGTTGGCTGGGTGTTAGAAAAGGAGGAGACGGCAGTACAATGACCAAATTCAAAATGAAAGCAAGAGTCTGTGCAAATAAGGTGCATCCTAGAAAGCTGAAAGAACCTATTTCATGGTTATGGTAAATCCTGTCTTTCTGTGACTCTATCAGGTGGGTTGTACTATAGCAAACACAGCAACACTTTGAGAAAGGATAAAAATGGTCGGAATGAACAGAGGCCTGATAGTCAAATTTCAGAGCTATGCAAGGCTTAGAACAATATTTAAAGGAAAGAATAATTATATACTTGGAGCTAAGTGGAAAATTTGATAAAATGCGACACAATGGTTTATCATGTCAGACTAACTTAATAATGCTATTTAATCAGATAATTGATTTTTGTTTTTCTGAGAAAGAAAAAACAGGATCTAACTTTTTTTTTTAATCAAGCATTTGATATGCTACAGCAGTGGAAATTATTACTTAAACCCTGTTTTAGTGTAAAAAATGTATTAGTGGGTAAGAAACTGATTGAAGAGGTGCAACAACAGGTCATGCTGAAAGATGAAACTATTCATGTGGAAGGTAGTGACAACTAACTTCTGAAGAATTAGTCTTCATAAATGGCTTTATTATTGAATGCCAAAAATAGGATTATGGCAATGAAACTTGCTGATAATAAGAAAATAGGAGGTATCGTTACTCTAGGAATAGATAAGGATATCATACACAAAGAACAAGGTGACTGAGTAGAGTAATAGAAATGGGATGATGTGTAATATGCAAGATCATGTACTTACAAACTGATACAATGGATCATTTTCAATATTGGTGGTTGATTCCGGACTTCAGAAATACTAATTTGATTTAAAGCATGGTATGGATAGAATACACCCTGGCTTTGTTGCTGTTCCAGCCTTATTATGTTTTCCATCTGTGTGGAAAATGCCACTGGAAGTATTCATAGATCTTATTGTCTGGCCTTGGACATAGTTCCAGGTAGATGAATTTAAATGCAAGCAATACAGAGGAAGACTTGGTCATTAATTGTGTTTAATGGGAGTGATGGCACTTAGTGGTTCTGTATTCATTTCACCAAGCTTTTCATGGACTGAAGGATTGAGCTGACTCTGATGAAATCTGTATCTTCATGTTTTCGGTTAGATTGAAATTGTGCACACAGTTCAGCCTTAAAGTTTTTAAAAATACCTTGAGCAAACTGTGTTTTGTTCTTGGTTGATCAAAATAGTAATGTATCAAAGGGACCCATGGATGAGATTTGACTGAAGCTTGGTGTTCTTTAGGTAAATCTCCTCTATTCCTGTTTCATTTGTTTGGAAGAGTTAAGTCTTTTTCTAGTGGGTTTTTTGTTTGGTTTTTTTTTTTTTTTT